TGTAAGGAGGGACAGGTCCTTGGAGAGGGACATCATGCTTGGGAGGGTGGAGGGACAGCGCAGGAGGGGAAGACCCTCTATGAGGTGGATGATTTAGTGACTGTGGTAATCGGGATGGGTGTGTCAGAGGCAGTGCAACTGGCACAAAATAGAGCAGGGTTTAGGGCTGTTGTACATAGGGTCGCTAGCCGGAAACGACTCAACAGCACATAACAACAACAATTATGTGAGTGTTAAGAGCCTGAATAGCCTATTCTAAATGTATATAAATTTCCAAAGACTTAAATCCAAATGGATTGGAGATAGTGGATTAGGGCAAAAAGGAGTTGTAGATGTGAGGTGCAGAAGACACATTTTATATAGGTTAAGCCTTGGTTATCTTTTATTACCAACCAATTAAGACTCATTTCCCAAGACCAAGGAGAGGAGGTAGAGTAAGGCTTTTAGTACCTTACTAAGGAATTAGTTGTTATGCATTAGAAAGCTGGACAATGACTAGGGATGATAGAAGGAGAATTGATGCCTTTGAGCTGTGGTGCTGGAGAAGAGTATTGAATGTACCATGCATGGACTGCTAGGAAAACAAACAGATTGATCCTGAAGAGGGTTAAAACAGTCTGCTCCTTGGAGTCAAGGATTCTGAAGCTTCTTCTGACATACTTTGGGCATGTTGCAAGGAGAGATCAGTCCTTGGAGAGGGATGTCATGCTTGGGAAGGTGGAGTTACAGCGCAGGAGAGAAATCTATCTCCATGAGATAGATTGATTTAGTGACTGGGGTAATGGGAGTAAGTTTGTCAGAGACAATAAGATTAGCACAGGATAGAGCAGGGGTTAGGGCTGTTGTACTTAGCATCACTATGAGTTGCAGGTGATGCGATGGCACATAACAACAACAAGGATTGTACGCTTTTACTTTTGCCTATAGAGTCTTTAACATCCTGAGTATGACCTTGTAATGACTGTATTAGTTCCCTCTTTTGTAACAAATTATCACAAACTTGGTGGCTTACAACATAGATTTATTAATAGTTTGGTAGGTCATACTGGGATAAAAGAAAGAGGTCATGTACATGTTCCTTCTGGAGGTTCTTGGAGGAGAGTTATATTGTTTTAAACCATGTACTGCAAATGGTTATCCTGCCAACTGCTAACCCAAAGGTTGGCAGGTCAAGTCCACCCATAAATGCCTTAAAAGAGGTTCACTGAGCTACTTTCAGAAGGACTCATCATTGAAAACCCTGTGAGCACAGTTTGACTCTGAAACGCCAGTCTGTGTCTACGCAGCAGCAACTGGTTTTTGTTTGTTGTTTTGGTTTGTTAGTGGTTTGGCATTTTTTTTACCTCACCAGTTTTATTTGTGTATGGTTATTTGGTTGGTTTTTTGCTTGGTGGTTGTTGGTTTTTTCAACTGCAGTGGGGAACTAACACAGGGGTTGAGAAGAGTCCTGTGAGATTCTTTGATAGGTGCCCAGCTATAACCATTCCCCACCCCCAGGAGCTGCGCCTCCTCCCTAGAAACCAGCCTTCAGTTCAATTGAGGCATCAGCTGCTTCTCCACAGCCACAGTGTTGGAGGCCCAAGAACGGCTTCTAACCTGAGCTGCTGGTCTACCAGCCTGCATCCAACACTTCTAGAGAGGCCTGGTGGGAGTCAGAGGAGGTGTTAGTTGTCTGGTTGAATAAAGATCCTGAATGGAAGACAGCCAGAGCTCTTAGATATAGAAGAGATATGCATTCTGTGAACTATCAGTTCACTCCAGACTCCAGGTTGTAGTTGTTGTTACGTGCTATTGATGCAAAACTGGCTGATAGCTGACCCTCCAGTGGATTTTTTTGAAGACTGGAAATAGGACGTGAGATCTTTCTCGCTCAGAGCAGCTGGTAGATTTGAACGGCGTGTGTTTGGGTTGGCAGCACAGCTTCTTACCCACTGGACTACCAGAGCTCCCTCGAATTCCAAGTTAGGCATCATGAAGAAGGGCTGTGTACCTGGCTGCAGGCACCTCTGGGTTGGATGCACTTACTGAAAACATGTGGTTTGAATTTGCTGCTTTGATGTCTGGAACAGTATGTTTTTCAGAGTATTCTTTCCACTCTCTGTGTGTTTCTCATTAATCATTCAGTCTCAGAGAAGGTGTCATGATGATAGTGTTTTCTTTCTGGAGAAAGGTTTGGGACTTTGACTGTGGTCCCTAACAGCACGAGGGTGGGTGGCTCGAGGTGATTTCTTCCCAGGTCACTTGTGGAATGGGATTGTGATATTGATGGTTGTTCCACACAAAGTGTTATTTCACAGTTTCTAGTTAACAAACTTGGAAGCAGGAGTGGCATCCACTTCCTAAATAACATGCCTCCAGAAACTGTGAGCTTTGATAAATGTCTATGGTGGTAGAGGGGCTTCAGGCCTTTTGTTCATGGGGTCACTATGAGTCGTGCTAGACTCAAAGGCAATCAACAACAGTTACCAAACTTAGTGTGTGTAAGGATCCGTTGAGAGTCTTGTTGGTACTACAGCTCTTCCAGGATGGTGGAGGCAGCCTGGGAATATTTATTTAAGGTGTAGCTCCATACAGATGCCAGTAGTCCTTGAGAAACACTTCTGTTCTCATGAGGCACCCAAGACCCATTTGACCCAGAATCTTCAGGCTCTGAAGCAAACCATCCTTTCTCCTCCTTAGTCCCAGCTAAGCTGAAAGGCTAAAGTCATGGAACACATCTAATCATCTCCTCTAATCCCAGATGAAATCTACCTTGTGTTTGCTATAGTGCGAAATCTGTAGCCTCTGAATAAAACTGGCTGCAGGAGGGACATCAGGTCCCTGGACTTCATTACAAAGTCGGTCGTCTTTGCACTCAAATAGCTTTTTTAATTTTTATTTTTTTTATTTTATTATTTTTGTGTGGGTGTACCGTCAGATCAGATCTGACTGGTACAGGAGGAGATTGTCCCTCCTTGCTCAGCAGAGCATCTGGTGGATTCGAACTGTGCTCCTCTGGCATTGTAGTTGCAGCTCCTTGCCACTAGGCCACCAGAACTCCCCTCAAATAGCTTTTAAGCCAAAGGACTGGCTTCCTGTGGAACCGGTCCAGGCTGTATTTTGTCCATGTCTGATTCGTTTGCCATCTTTATGAGGGCATCGTGTGCACAGTGCCATCACACTAGATGAATGTAGCACCTGTGTAGTGTAGCACACTGCATGATGTTGCCTCTGGGTGCAGTTCTCATCCTCGCAGGCTTGGCTGCTTGGAATCCAGAGACAACCTTTAAGACAACTGTATGTGTACCAGGGAGCTCTGATGCCACCACCTGTAGGAAGGTGTGCAGTTTATCCAAATGTCAGACCTCTCTGGTGGCTCAAACCAACGGGAGAAAGATGGCCAGTATCCTACCATGGGATGTACAGTCTCAGAAAGCCAATGAAGGGTCAGCCTTGAGTCATTTCCAACTCAACACGAGGGAGAGAGAAAGATGTCAGTAGCACCATCTTTGTGTTATCGATCAGGTAGGGGTCATGCCCAACCCCAGAATTTGTTAAAGCAAATTTTATCTTGAGAGAAATTGATTTATAAGTGACTTTGGTGTGTGCATTTAAATTTTTTTGTTGTTGTTAAAACAAAGCAAGTTTTATTATCTAGTTTTAGTTGCATCATTCTCGTTAATTAACGTTTAACTTTTTACCCTCCCTTTCTCTCCTGTCTCCTTTCTCTGATTCTTTCTCTGTCTCTCTCAAGACTCTGTTTCACAGCTGCCTGTCCCTAAAAACCCAAAGATTCGCCTGTACAACACAGAACAAGTTCTGACCTGGGAACCAGTGTCCCTGGCCAACGACACAAGGCTGGTGACCTACAGAGTGGAGTATAAATTGTAAGTCCATTGTCTGTTGGCATCTTGGCTGGGATTTGGGGGGAGTCATCCCGGAACTCTAGGACAGCTAGCTGTTACTGCCTATTAACCAGTTGGTGCTGCTGTCTGTAAGGTTTTTACTGGCCACGTTTTCAGAAGTAGATTGCCACGTCCTTCTTCCTATTCATTATTAATGTGGAAGCTCCACTGAAGGCTGTCCACCCTGGGTGACCCCGCTGGTGTCTGAAAGACCAGCATCACAGCAACACATCAGCCTCCACAGTAGAACAAACTGACAGATGGCCAAGAGGTGTTAGAATACCAGAAATATGTTTAACTATCTTTTATTGACTGTGTAAAAGCATCCAACTTTGTCATTAATAACAAGTTTTGGATAACATTATTAATAAAGATTGGGAGCACTTAATTGTGCTTGTGTGGAACCTGCATGTGGACCAAGAGGCAGTTGTTCATTAGAATAAGGGGACACTGCGTGGTTTAAAATCAGGAAAAAGGTGAGTTAAGGTTGTATCTTTTCTCCATACTTACTCAGTCTGTATGCTGAGCAGTTAATTTGGGAAACTGGACTGTATGAAGAAGAACTCAGCATGAGGGTTGGAGAAGGACTTATAGCTATCCTATGTTATCTAGATAAAACAACCATACTTGTTTAAAGAGATGCAAACTTGAAGCACTTACTGATAAAGATTAAAGACTACAGTCTTCAATATGAATTACATCTCAACATCAAGAGAAAAAAATCAACATCTGAACCAATAAACATCATCATAATAGATGTAGAAAAAATTGAAGTTGTCATGAATTTCAGTTTTCTTGGGTCCAGAATCAGCCCTCATGAAGCAGCAGTCAAGAAATCAAATTAGACATTACTGCATTGGGCACATCTGCAAAAGATCTCTTTAACATGTTCAAATGCAAAGACATCCCTTTCAGGAGTAGGAACACTTGTTCCAAGCCATGGTATTTTTCAGTCACTTGATGTGCATACCTATGTCGAACAATGAATAAGAATGGTTGAAGAAGAATTGATGCCTTTGAAATATGGTATTGGTGGAGAATACTGAATGGAAAGTACACAGCCAGGATGCTCCTTAGAAAGGAAGGTGGCAAAACTTCATCTCATATCCGTTAGAAGTGTTACCAGGATGGACTAGACCGGTCAACAAAAAGTTGGCCCAGCTGGCATGATTAGTAAAGTCAGAGGAAGACCTTCAACAAGATGGATTAGCACAGCGGCTGCATCATTGGGCTGAAATAGAGCAAAGATTCTGAAGCTGGCACAGACCAGGCAGTGTTTCATTCTGCTGCATGTAAGGTCAGAACAAACTTGATGGCGCCTGACACCAGCCAGTTACCGTTGAGTTAACTTTGCAAGGTAGTGGCGGGGTTTTGGTCTGTGGTTCATTGGGTCATCATGAGCTGAAGTTGACATGGTGGCACCTAACAGCATCATTATTTCAGACAACCACTAAAAAAAGATAATTATGTGCCTTCTGATGGTGATTGCAGCTGTAAAATATGAGCTGTGTTTATGGCAAAAAACGGGAAAGGGGCATGGCAAAATTACAGTCAGTTGATTTGTTAGAGTGAGTTTCCAAATTACTTGCTTTTTACTTTTAAACGTGTGATAATATTTAATATATACCGATGCTAAAATGGAGCCTGGGGATCCTCTCTTAATCACATATATCTTACAAGCTGTTTCCCAAGTAATTACAATTTACCGTTATGATCATATGTAGTAAATAATATGATGACTAGGACCAGCAATATAATTTGCTGTGTTGGGGAAATAGAATTAAAAACAAAATCAGCTCCCATCCCAGGAAACCTCTCCACAGAAGCAGAAGAGACAAAAACAGGTATATATTAAATGAGCACTAAACTAGAATGTGATAGGTGTTAGGTAGTCTGCTTAGGATTGTTTTTGTTGTTGTTATGTGCTGTTGAGTCACCTGCGACTCATAGAGACCCTATGTACAACAACACAACAGAAGTCTGCCCTGTCCTAAGCCAGTCTCACTGACTCTGACACACCTATCCCCTTTGCCCTAGTCACTGTATCAATCCATCTCATCCAGGAACTTCCTCTCCTGTGCTGTCCCTCCACCCTTCTGACCATGATGTCCTCCTTCTCCAAGGACCAGTCCCTCCTGGCCACATGCCCAAAGTATGTGAAACAGAGCTTCAAAATCCTAGCCTCCAAAGAGAAACTTAGTTTCATCCTCTCCAACACAGATCTGTCTGTTTTCTTGATGGTCCATGGTATGTTCAGTACTCTTCTCCAGCACCACAACTCAAAGGCATTGATTCTTCTTCCATCATCCTAAGTCATTGTCTAGCTCTCTGATGCATAACAAGTATTTGCAAAGACCATGACCTGGATCAAGCAAACCTTCGTCTCTAGACTGCCATTATTGCTTTTCAGTACTCTGGAGAGGTTGCTGACAGCAGATTTTTCCCAGTGTAATTCATCTTTTGACTATAAAGAAATGGGACCCATTTCATAGGCACCCTGTCGGACTGGGTAAACCTGCACCATAGGGTTTCTGAGGTTGTTAAAAGGCTTCATCTTTCTCTTGAGGAGCAGCTAGTGGGTTCAAACCAAGAACCTTTCGTTAGCATCCCAAGCTTAGCTTACAGTGCCACCAGAGCACCTCTTTCTCAGCTGGTTGGGAGGCCACCTGTGTCCACTAATTTCCTTTTCAAAGGAAAAAAATAAATGTTTTTATGAGGAGGCGCCCTGATGGTGTATTGTGATGAGGCAGTCTGCTCACATTAAGAGCCAATACTGAACTCTTTATCATTCTTTATGGCTGTATAGTTCTCCATTGTGTAACTGTGGCATAGATTATATATTTGCTTGTTGGTAGACACCTGGGTTATTTTTATGTATTTGCTATTGTAAATAATGCTGCAGTGAACATGAACATACATATATCTGTTTGTATTAAAGACCTTATTATGTCTGAATATATAAATCTAATGGTGCGATTGCTTTAGTCTATGGTATTTCTCTTCCCAGCTTTCTAAGGAAGTCCCAAATTGCCTACTATAGTGATTATACCCTTTTCTAGTCCCATTAACAGTAGAGGAGAGTTCCCTATTCTCTCCACACCTTGCCAGCATTTGTTGTTTATCATCTAATTGACCTTTCCTGTTGATGGTGGGGTAAGTTGATAACTTGTTTTGATTCACATCTCTAATAGCTACATGCTTGGTAGGGTGGAGGGACAGCGCAGTAAGGGAAGGCCCTCT